CCCCCCCCCCCCCCCCGTCCTCTTCTTCCTCCAAACATATTATTGTGGAGGAGAGGAAGGAAGGGCAGCTATTCTTCTTTTCACCATCGGAGCTGGAGAGAATTTAGCCATTTGGCTCAGTCTCCAGCTTGAGAAGATGTTAATGGAAAGCAGATGAGGATTGATTTTGTCTCTTTTGTGCTACAAAGCAAATCAGGACATCTTCTGCAGGGCTTTCCATCTTGTAGTTCATGTTTGTACAATGGAACCTGTGATTTAGTTAATATTTTGAAGATCTCAAACAGAATGAAGAAAATCCTGAGGGAACCCACTACCTCAATTTCTCCTTTTCTCCGAGTTTTCCCCTAAATCTTCTCTTTTATGGTAGTCAGAAAGTTGGTTAAGGAAAACCCACCTACCCTCTGGTGCCATCACCACAGCACCTCCAGGGCAGATGTACATGGGAAGAACCCTCTTGGATTAAACCGAGATAATCTCAGTTTATCTCAGCCTGATGCTGTACTTTCTATAAATGTTGGGACTACCTTTCCCAGAATTCCACCTGCTACATATTTGGAAGGCACTGTGCCCAGACAGATGCAACTGGGAAGCTTACAAACAAAACTGGAATCATTCCAGATCTTTTCTGCTTGTTCTCCATCAATTGTGATTTGAGATACTGCACAGTACAGGAACAAAATAATTTAACCATCTGCTATGAATTCACTTTAGGAATCACCTACAGATAGTCCTGGAGTAATGACTGTAATGGAGCCTGCCCATTACAGTCATAATGGTTGTAAAACAGTACAGTCACACAACCTGATTCTACAACCTTTTTTGTGACAAAAATGTTAAGCAAACATAGCAGTCATAAAATGAACACCACGGTTGTTAAGCAAATGCTGTGGTTGTTAAGTGAACCCATGGGTGCAGTTTTCCTGAAAACTGGAAGTTAGTACTGCTTTCCGGCAAAACATTGACATGTAACCACGAGACACTGCAATGTCCATAAATGCAGCCAAGTGTTGCCAAGTCCTCAAAGTCATGTGACTGTCGGAATTTTGCATCCAGGTCATAAGTCCCCTTTGTGGGTCAGTCATAACAAAGCATTTCTCACAATGTCAGCTTCTCCATCTGCAGTGCTACAATTTGGCCATATGTAGGTGGGTGGGTGGAAGAAACGAAGGAAGGAAATATATTTGAACAAATGGAAAGAGTGAGTAGAAAGAAAGTAGATTTGAACTGATGGAATATAGTGGAAGAAGAAAAAAAGAAAGGGTAGGATATAAATCTAATTAATAAAATAATAAATAAATCAGATTTACTCTCTGTCATTCCAGAGGACAAGACTAGGAAGGAAGCAACGTGTCCTATAATTTTCTACCAGTGTATTGTTTTTCCCCCCTAAAATAACTGCATTAGTTCACATTTTAATATTCTGCATAACAATGATATATTTTTCTGTGTACATTTTTCAAATATACAAATACATCCACACATATACACATACATATACACTTGACAGCATTTCTGGCATGATATATTTGAGATATAGAAGCTTTGAACATATTTTTTTTCAGTTCCATGCTTTTCTGTCCACACTGTCATCTTATACCAGACTTTTTTTTATACTTGTTGTTTTTAAGAACTTCATGGCAAAATTTAGCAAAATGTACAGGCAGAACTTGTAATTCCACCTTGGTTGAAGTATTTATCTTGGATGTGCAGATTAGGTACAATCCAAAGGAAGTAAATTCTTCTCCCTGCGTGGATAGGGCCCAAATTGATGGGTTCAATTAATTAAAAGGGATTTTAGTTACGCTTTAAGGATTTTTTTGATGATACGAGTGGCTCACTGGTAGAAAGTCTGCTTTAGAAGGTGGTGGGCTTTCTTTCGTAGGAAGGTTTAAGCAGAAAGAGGTAATCTATTTATTTACTGCATTTATGTGCAGCACAAAGGGATCTTAGTTACATTTTAAGAAGGATTTTTGTTGATGATACGATGGTTCATCGGTTAAAAAAAACTGCTTGAAAAAGTGGTGGACTTGCTTTCATACAAAAGTTTAAGTAGAAACAGGTCATCTAGCAGGATACCTATTTGTTTGTTTGTTTGTTTGTTTGATTGATTGATTGATGGGCTGCTCATTTTGTCCTGAGGTGACTTTGGGCAGCTTACAAACATTAAAAGCTAAAACAGTAATAAGAATAATCAAAATATATCATTAAAAGATTAAAAGACGGGGGGGGGAGGAGAAAAGAGCACGAAGACAAGAGATGGAGTTTCCCTCAATCTACTAAGCACCTCCAGAGTGATAACTCAGCCTACTCACAGTGTCAGGTCTTCAGGTCCTTATGGAAGGACAGGAGCCACGGCAGAGAAAGCTCTTCTGGACTCTGCCCGCCAAAATGTATTGCCTGACAGGGTGCATAGCATATCCTCTCTGCTGGCATAGGTGATAGCCCCCCCCAAAAAAACTTTATAATTCTAGTTTCACTTCCGCTTTTGCATATCTATTAAAGGAGCAGAATGTATGCAGATTTCCCCAAAGCATGAGCTCCCAAACATCTGGATTCTAATCTTGACCCAATTCCAACTTTTTGAACGCTAAACCTCTTCTATTAAGCTCTTGTTATTTGCACTTCTAATCCACGAGATGTAAACTCTGGCTTTTCATCTTGACAAATGTTTACTTGAATGATTAGAAGAATATGTTCCAAGGAATTAATTAAATGGGGTGGTGGTAGTAGTGCTGGTGGTTGGGGGTTTTTTTAATTTTATTTTGGATGGGGGTGGGGTGGGTGTGGGTGGGTGGGAAGGCAGATGTTTTCCAGGATCTAATCTGAGGAACATATGATTTGTAGATGCCCTGCCAGCTATCCAGCAGCTCTTGCAAAATTAGCACCACCGTTTAATTTTGTTGTTCCAGGAGGGGTATTTTGGAAAGCCATGGAGGAAAAAAAGGCAGAGGTTGCCATATAAACCGGAAAAAAAATAAAAAAGCCGAAGAGATAAGAGATAGAGAGACAGAGAAGCGAGCTTTTAAGTCAGAGGGCAGGGCAGGGCAAAAGAAAAGCAGACATATAATTCCACACCGCCTGACAGGCTGCCACAGAAGACAGGTAATTAAAAGCAGACCAAAAAGAAAAAGTCAGAGCAAATGTCTTGAGGGAGATGGAAATTGCAACTCTGCAACCAGATGGTGGAGGCTAGGCTTCCGCGAAAAGAGCAGCCGCCGAAACTACTGGCTCGCGAGAAAATAAGGACAGGCCGTTTTCTGCATACGTGTGAAGCTTTGGGAACATCTGGCGAGCATTGCCCCCCCTCCCCTCCCCATGCTTCCCCACCCGCCCAGAAGGTGAGGAATCCTGCCCGATT